AATTGGCTCAGACTCTTCGTCAGAGGATCACAGACATGAAGATTAAAATCGACAAACAGATGACTGTACTGGCAGCCCTGAGGGATCAGGTCAAAGACCAGGTCACAGAGATGCAGAGACTGGAGGTATACCAAGCCAGCGCAGTCAAAAATACATGTTTGCATAAAAAACATGACAAGAACATCCTTAAAAGTATTTACAAATGCACTAGAGAAGAAAAAATTTAAAGTACTGAGGATAGTTGACTATGCAAAAATATTGAAATGCCTGTAACCAACAGTAGTGAAGCCACAGGTTTCAGAAGTCTAGAAGAAAGAAAATAAGAACATTTTAAAAAGCACTTAGCCAGCGCCAAATCACAACAACAGTCACCTCTAGTTGCGTTATGCTGTAAGGTAAAGACCTTAGAATAATACAGAGAAAACTCCAACAATCCGTTGAACCCTTAAAGCAAGCCCTTGGCGACAGTAGGAAGGAAGAACTCCCTTTTAACAGGAAGAAACAGCAGAACCAAGTTCAGGGAGGGACATCCATCTGCCGTGACCAGTTGGGGGTGAGGGAAAGAAGGCAGGACACACTAAATCAACATAAATCAGTATAATAAATATCTACACATGGATATATTCAGATTTGTACTGCGAATGTAGCTCAACTTCTGACAAAACTCTGAATATTAATTAATCAAAAGGTCCGATTAACTAAAGTAAAATCTTTTTATGGCACCTGTGTAACAGTGAGAAGCAGTAAAATATTGTTTTTTATTGTAAAGATATGTTACAATGGCAGAGTGAAATGTGTTCACATATATTTAAAACTACCACTTTTTTTACAAGTTACTTTTACAATTTTTTTTTACTCTTGGGTTTCACATTTTTTTAAAAAACTTGATCTCCTCTTTCAGGTGGATATTGATATTAAGCTTCGTTCCTGCAAAGGATCCTGTGGAGGCTACTCTGAGTACCAAGTGGACACGGAAAGCTATGTCACATTGAATAAACAGGTGAGAATTCAAGCGACCACATCTATCCACCCAGTTAAGGGTGAATAAATTAAAAACAAGCTCATTAAATTGCCAATCAGCAGAGTGAGTCAATAAATAACTAATTGTGGGGTTTGCATACAGTGAAACACCAGCTATCTCGAGTAATCTGCTGTTTTAAATACATTTTAAGTCCAAGTAATTTCACCTCTCACAATTTCTTAGGTTTTTGCATATCTGTCCCATTTTATTGACCACTAGAGATAACCTTGGAAAAAACTTCTTTTTCCTATTTTTAAATGGAAAAAGAAGTATTTTTAAAAGCTACCCAAACCTACATGGCTCTATGCAGAACTGTAATTGCCCCCAAAACTTAATAACTTGTGCCACCCTTGACATGAAGAACTTAAATAATTTGCTATAACTGTCAATGAGTCTTCACAGTTTTCACCCATTTGCAGTTTGCCATTACTTTTGTCACCAAAATAAAGTTATTACTTTACATCTGTTAAAAGTGGTTTTAAAGTTTAAAGGGTTGCGGGTCGGACTCAAACTCGGGTCGGCCACTCTAATCATACAGGATTTGGTCACCTGCTCATCCCACCAAGCCAAAACATGAGAATAAATAGTGAGAAATACACTATTTTAAGATAACATTGGAAATAAAACAACCAAAAAGAAAGTTTTTATTGGCTGTTTTTTGAAAGGTAATAAATTCAAAGATACAGAAAAAGTTATATTTGTTAAAAAGTCAAAATATTTAGTTGTGACCATTTTTATATTCAATTTTTTCAGAATTAATAAAAAGATATTGTTGTGTAAGATTTGTGTTTGTCATTCTTCTGACAATTGAATTTTTCCCAACATTAGGTTGTGAACTTCTCTTTCTGTCTGTCTTTCCAGGTCCAGCAGTTAGACTCCCAGGCACCCCAGAATGTCGAGACTGTGGGGACGCTGTACGTGATGAAGAGCAGGCCGCTAAGGGATATGGTTGTGGATAGCAACTTCAAATCCGGGGCCGTTGAAGGAGCAGCAGGACAGCAGACTGCAGACAAGTTCCCTGATGTAAGAGAGCCGTCACATTTAGATTTCATCTCTTAACAAGCATTACGTTGCTGGTAACTTTTCAGGTTTAGAGGTATATTCAAAAATAACTATTAATATGGCGTTTTCATGTACTTCAAATGGAAATCTTACAATAGGAGAGAGATAAGGCCAAAATTGCCTTTAGTTGACATTCTCCTGAAAGCTAAGCGCCTCATTTCTAAAACTATGCATCTTTACCATGTGGCTAAAATGTTAATCTTAACTCTAAGCGGTAATGCAGTGATTGATGAAAATCTTAAGTAAATGCTTCCCATTGTTTACATCTTGCACCAGTGAGCTAGTGTTTGATTGTTTTATGCTACTTTGGAGCACTTTTTGTCCCCTTGGATTGCCCACTAGTGGAGTTCTAAGACCCAGAGGAAGCAGACATATCAAATTTTGATATCAACTGACATTTGTTATTGACAGTTTAGTCTTTTTAAAACGTTTGACAGCATTTAGTTCAATTCAATTTAATTTTAAATACCCTAGAATTTGATTCCTTTTGGTTTGTGGTTCTTATTTGGTTAACTGTACTGTATGTTTGGAAACTTTAGGCTTTTATGTTACACAAACATTTATTGGGAATTGTTATGGCACCATGAAAAAAATGTCAGGGACTTCTCAAGCAAGAAGCAGCTATTGAGTTACTGACCTTCCGGAAGTTGGAAACCATTCTCCCTCTTGAGCAGGATCTATCATTTCATCAAATTCTGTTAATATTGCTCTATATTTGTATAAAAAAGTACTTTCACTGAACCAATATTCCTTAAGAGTTTTTTTCTCTTTTCTTTTTCTAGGTGAGGACTGTCCATTTGGTCCTGGAAGAGGAAGGCTCTAGCTCATCCCCAGCAACTGTTTCCAAGGTCCCAGGTACTTCCTTCTCTTCGTCTACATCCTCATCCTCCTCATCTTCATCGTCCACCTCTTCCACATCATCTAGATCAATCACTGAGATTAGTGGTCGTGGCGACGCGGACACGTTTGGTTTGGGTGGAGGGTCGCATAGCCTCGGCCAACCCAGTACAAGTCATGTGTCCACCAAAACCATCACCTGCACCAAGAGAACCCGAACAACTGTGGTTCATACAAGCGATGGGCCAGTGGAAAGGACAGAGGAGGTGATAGAAGGAGGACCCGGATGCCAGGTGACAGGAGACTTCACCAAGGGTGGGATAAGCTCCTTGTTCCCCTCTCTCAGCCATACATCTTCATCCTCTTCTACTGGCTCCACCAAGACCGTACATCTCAGCAGCACTAAGGGCAGCGTCTCTGGAAATACCAAAACTGGGTTTAGCGATCCATTCGACTCTGATGTCGGGCTCGACCTTGGCGCGTTTCTGACTGACAATACAGAAGATGATGTTCCTGATTTTCACGCCAGGAGTGTGAAGGTCGCATCACGAATCGAACGCCAGGCGGATTATGTAGGAAAAGGTACTGAAACTGACCTGGAGTAAAATATACAAAGCCAAGAAGAAAATGATTAGCTAGATAGGATGCATTAGCATCAGATAGCTTGCTAGCTAGCCCTATGTACCAAAATGATAAGTGAATACAACATTTTTTGTTGTTTGTTTCTGGAGTTTAAATATTTTAAGATTTCCCATATAATACATTTGATAAAAATATTTCTCATTGATAGTTTACCAATCAACAAATTCCTGATTAGCGATTAACCAAACTCTCCAAAAATCCTGCAAATATCACCACCCACATCCGTCCTGCTAGCCACAGACTTATTTGCCACAAAAGAGTGTTTAACATAGAGATCAGGAGACGAAGAATCGACTGCAATCGACTGCAAGTTTAGCTTTTGTCGATGAAGTGTCCATTTTAGCCAGTCCACGCTAACTCGCGGTTTGCGGTATGCCCCTCTCTGTTTACAGATTGCGTTGAAATCTACCAGAACCATCTGAATGGGGAAACAAATGGCCTGTTTAAGATCAAACCTGGCGGCACCAACTCTGAGGCAGTAGTGGATGTTTACTGCCAGCAGGAGGGTATTATGGGAGGGTGGTTGTTAGTCCAGCAGCGAGAGAGTGGTGCACTCAGCTTCAACCGCAGCTGGGTTGAATACCGCAATGGGTTTGGATCAGTGGACACTCAGGGCAAAGGCGAGTTTTGGTTAGGCAACCATAACCTCCACTTGCTAAGTAATGAAAGTGAGACTATGCTGAAAGTTGAACTAGAGGACTGGGAAGGTGCTGTAGCCAGTGCAGAGTACACTATACGGGTAGGATCAGAGGCGGAGGGGTACCCGCTGCATGTCTCCACATACAGCGGGGATGCTGGGGATGCTCTATTAATGCCAAAAGCATCTGATTTATCCCACAACAGAATGAAATTCAGCACCTTCGACAAAGATAACGATAGATCGGAGCATAATTGTGCAGAGATTTATGGGGGTGGGTGGTGGTACAACAACTGCCAGTCAGCTAATTTAAACGGTATTTATTATAAAGGCACATATGACCCCAAAACAAACATCCCACATGGAACCGAGAATGGAGTTGTGTGGGTGACATACAAACCAGCAAATTACAGCCTGAAAACTGTTCGGATGTTTATCCGACCAACTGCTTTTTAACTTGAAAAAACAGGTGAATAGATAACAACCAGAGGACAAAAACCAAAGGTAGAATCAATCTATCTGTGCAATAAGTACTTTCTGTTTGTGAGCATGCTGTGTAAACAGTATTGATTCTTTTGTTAGCACTACCAGTCCAATGTTCTTGCAGTGACCCAATGTTTTTCGTGTTTCTCAACCACTGAACTCTGCTCAATCAATAAAGACTCAGTGTTCACTTTACTCACTGTTGTTTGTGTTCTCATTTCCCGCTAAATAAATAACTTGAATTTAATCTTATTGACTTGAATTGAAACTTAAAGATAAAAAATATGTACAAAATCTATCAAAATATTAAACCACATGGTTGCAGAGTAATAAACCACATGTAAAATAACCGGGTATTAGGAGTATTTATATGGTTTTATAGACTGTATGTATAACTGGCACTCACTTTGCTATTAATATTTTAAAAATAAAGCGCAATATAAGGATATATTATTTCATAATGTGAGTAATACAAAATATATGTTAAAATATTCTGAATGGGTATATCTAGTTTGTAGTGTCAAAGATTGCCGCTGAAAAGTAAAGCAGTTAACCATGCTAAGTCATTCTGTGTTTGATGAATTGTATTTATTGTTATGTTGTCTTCCTTCCTTCTTAGAGTTGCTGGGTTGATGATGACGTGTTAGCACACATAACATGCAAATTGAACTCCGCGCAAGAAGTAGCCAAAGCAAGTATTGTCGAATGTGTGTACACAAGGAACTGGTGACAAAAAGTTCTTACACAATATGACATAGTGCAAGAAATACTACTACTACTAATGGTAATAATAATTCAAAACTTTAAAAATGTATATGTGCATTGCTGAATTTAGGCATCAAAACAACAGGAACTACATAAAGATTACAAGATTAAAAAACATGAATGTGAAAACATGAAAACAAGATAGTGATTAAGTATTATTACCGAAAATGAGAAAAAGTATTCAGAAGGCATTAAAATGTTATGCACAAGTCATTCTATAAAGGAGATCTGAGTATCCCTTTGTTTTAAACCCTGAAACTTATAACAGTATCACATTCTTTGATCTGTGCTTCAAAATACTGAGTTAAGAGTCCTCAGATTTCTAAAGGAACAAAGTCGTTGTTTTCATTTAAAAGAAATAACAAAAAATCTCACATATAGATGACCTAATACATTTATTAGGCTGTCACTTAATGTATTTTTTTTTTGTTAAATTCAATTCAGTTCAGTTTTATTTATATATAATATATATATAACACCAAAATAACACAGCAGTTGCCTCAAGGCACTTCACATTGTAAGGTAAAGCTGTCCTAAATTAAAAGTATTTATAATAACGAGAATCTTTAATGGTTAATCCATCAGTGTGTGCAAACTCTAATCAAAATTATATTTCTAATGCTAAAATATAGTTATTATTATCCATCATTTTTAAAATGCATTTTATTATTTATTAAAATGTATTTTTTACCATATAATAAAGCGCATCTTTAGATTATGATTAAGATGCCAGATAGCAGTTATTTTACTTACGAACATGAACAAAAAAAAAAAAAATGGTTCTTCAATGTCAGTTAATTAGTTTTTGTTCAGTGTGAAAGCTCAAATTTCAGTATAAAAATGGCACATTCAGTTTATTTGCCTATAAATAACAATTAAATGAGACATACAACTGTAAAAGTTACCAAGGCACTCTTAGGATACAATTTATTTGAATTGATTTAAATGAAAATATGCTTTGAGTGCTCCAAGAGAGTAGAAAAGCTCTCTATAAGAATCAACTATTTAAATACCAACTGTGACTAGCAATACCTGTGATACTGTATATAACCCATAGAGGGCATTAAAAATAAAAGCACCAATGTGGTCTAGCGCAGATTAGTATGCAACATAACAACAGGATCTACATAAAGATTACATTTTAACTGTAACATCCTTGTGTTTTTTATGTAATAAGTTTTTATGGTCATTGTTTTTATCTCTGGCCTGGTGATAAGGACATTGGAAAGTTATCTTTTATGCTTTTTATCCATAGAGCCCATTTTCACCTCACAGTTTCATAACTATTATTGATTTTGTGCTTGTTTTTCATGTGGAAATGTTAAATAACAACCCCGAAGTTACTAATCTTTGTACAGTCCACAAGTTCCATCAGTGACACAAAATAAACACAAGAAAGTGCACGCAAATCACATTTCGTTTGTACTGTCCTATTTGAATTAGAGCACAGTTGAAGGTGGACTTTTTTTTTCCCTCTCTGCAGTGTGTATAAGGTTCAAACAGCAGAATGAAGATGGCCGACCATCCCCCAGTGCAACCCAGATGTACAGGAAGCAGCAATGTGAAGCAAAACTAGAGACCCCGCTGTGTTTAGATGATGACTGGGTAAGAAGCATACAAGCACATAAATACAACTCTATTGATGATCTATAAAGAAAATCATTTGCTAGTTAAAACCATTGTAATATCAGGATGTGAAAATAATTTGAGTTTCTTGAGCTTAAATTAAAAGAAATTCACAGAAAACATGAGGGAAACCAACTTAAGTGCTCTCTTTGAGAGGAAGAGGGCACTTGGGTTTTGGTGTCCAGTACTCTTGACCACCACACGTCAGCTTTAGCCAAAGGTGACCAGCCATACTGAAAGAGGTCACTATGTTAGAAAACCAGCAAACCAGCATTTATTGACTTGCTCAGTCTCATAAACCAATAGGCAGAAAATCACCTTACACAAGCAGCCACCTTTAGCTGAAGTGCAAAGCACACAGATGACATCTACAAAAACTTTGAATTGAATCCAGGATTTGCTCTTGATAACTGGTAGAATTTAAACATTTTCAGTCGACTTACATATTATTACACAATTGCTTGAAAACTTAAACTAGCACACCTAAAGTACTTTTTATCTTGCTTTTATTTGTCAGGGATCGCAATCTAAAATACATCAGTCAAAAGGTTTAAGCTGTTTAAGCAGTAACTACATCTGTTCTGATATCCTTCCCTGTTTGAGATCAGTGGGGTTATCATTACAGTTACACATCCTAGAATAAAAACAAAACACCCCCTCTTCTTCCCAAAAAAGGACATAACCACATTAACCATTAAGCCAGTTAATTTGAGAAAAATGGCAATAATGAAATTGTTTCAATCAATTCCAGTTTATTTTATCTGTAACCCATGCACTGACACACATCCAACACCTGGCAAGATGTAGACTAAATTTCAAAGTTGGTAGAGAGTTTGGAAAGATTTCTTTAACGTTTCAATTTTTTCTTTGTAATCTGTCTTAAAATAAATAGTTACTCGTGAACTAAGTGTTATCAGTATAATTCATGAATACTCTGGCACCACTGATAACAAATGATTGTTATGAAGGACAGTCCTACAACATGGCTTAATTAGCAGTTGTCTAATTATTTGAATTATTTCAACCCAGCACCGTGCTACCACTTTACTAGCATTACTCTGAAAAATCTAAAACGCAAAGTGTAAATAAGATGGGGTTTTTTTGTTGTTATGATGCATGATAACTCAGAATGACCTGTTACTATGATGCACTGCCAACCTGACCTGTTCTCTTGTCCTTCTCCAAAGTTTTCTAAATGCCCGTCTGGCTGCAGACTCCAAGGTTTGATCTCACAGATGGAAAACAAAGTGGAAAGAAAACTGCGGGAGGTGTGTAAAACAGCAGAGATGTATGAAGATGCAACAGAGAAGTCCATGACTACAATGACTCACATATACAACTTTAACCGGCGAGTCATCATCAACAGATACAGTTAAGACTCTTTGGGGATGTTTGGATTTGTGGTTGTGGATAAAATAATTCGTAAATACTTACTAAAGTAATGCTGAGTTACTAATGCAGAATTTCATCTCTAGTGTTTAAGCTGAAATTCGTGGAACAAGCAGAAGAATTGGGCAGAAATTTGACAACGCTACAGAAACGATCAACCAGTCTGTCCCAACAGATAAAAAAACTGATTAGCAAACTGCAGAAACAGACAGAGGAGCTATATCGAACAGAGGTAAGACATAAACAAATACTGTTGATTGGTCGATTGTGCAATTGTTTGACTGTATTTACATTTAAGACTTGTTGATTACCTTATTCTTCTGACACTGATTGCTGCAATGTTTTAAATTAATGCCCTAAAACATTTTATTTTATATTTGACACGTTAAACAACTCAGTGTAGTTAGTATTTATGGAATGCCATTTCATAAATGGCGTTATTGTCCTCTATTGCAAAGAAACACATTTCAGACAAGTTATGTTCAACCTGATACATTTATATTTTTTGTAATACTTTTTCTTACTTTGTTTTTTGTTCTTTATGGTGTTTGTTGCTTGAATAACTGCTTATTCAACTTGTTTTTGTTGCCAGGTGGACATTGACATGAAGCTACGAGCCTGTCGCGGGTCTTGCCAGTCTGTGCTGCCATTTGAAATTGATCATCCCGACTATCACATCCTTCGAACTCACATGGAAGACATGGACAAGACTCTAAACAGAAGAGCCAAAGCACCTTTACCTCCTGCAGGCATCCCACATATTAAGCTCCAGCCTATAGACATAGTCCCAGAACCAGCTGAAGGATACAAGACGATCCCGACAGTCCAGAAAGAACTACTGACCCAATTTGAGGACATTGAACAGAATCAGATCATTTTGGAGGAGCTACTGGAGGAGTTAGAGGATGTAAATGATCACAATCATGTAGAAAGGTTTAATTAAATATGGGGCTGACAGAAAACAAGGAAGCACATTGTAATCTTGTTACTTAAATAACCATTATTTTGTTTCATCTGCAAAGTTTAGCTACCGTTTCAGTTTATATTTGGATCAGCAATGTGAGTAGTTTGTGGGCTAGTCTTTTCCATATTTTTCGGTGGTATGTCATTTGAATAGATGAGATAACATGAAGAATAACTCTGATTTATGACATGCTGTTTTACAGTTCAATCCAGGGGCATTTTTGATTAAAAACAATGGGGGAAAAAAGCCTTTTGGTGAATTTAAATATAGTTAAACTACTAACATTAATGATGCAGTCTGTGTTCTGCTGGGAAACTTTGAGTCAAGGTATTAGTGGATGTTACTGTGACATCTCCCTAAACACACCCACAGTACACTCCCACTTTTGGCAGTGGAACTGCCTTACAGCATCTGCTTTGTCAGGCAAGAGAATAGACCCCACAAGCAAAAGCTAGCTTGTGTTATTACATTGAAGAGGTGGACTGTGCCTTTTTCAAAGGATGATGGGAGTAGACAGTATTACTAATTCTGTGCCTTATCAATGCACCTGAGAAATTCTCCTGTTACCTCCATTCATTATCCAGACAATGCACTCCTGTTTGGTCATCTGTTATTTACCTCACAAACTCCATGATTAGGCAATGAAACTATTACTTTACCCTCGCTGTGCAGTCATTGCTTTATGCAACTTACTAAATTTTATTTGTGTAAGTGAAAATGCTGTCTGAATGGTTACAAGTTGCTATCCATTGTATCCTTATTCTGTTTTATTAAATCGTTTCTGATAACCAATTTTGTTTTATATTTATGTTTACTTGAGTTTACTGGATGACTGGATATCATCCCTGTCAATTATAATCAAAACTTTAAACTCCAAAACTTGCAAAAAATTAAATAATCAATGTTTTTACATTTAATTCATTGTCACATAAATCCTTTAATAGTTTTCTTGGTATGCAGCAAAAATGAGCAGATGATTCCAGTGGTACCAGATTTGTCTTATTTATGTCACAGAAGTGCTCATAGTGTTTAAGCAAAAGAACATTTAAATAGCAAAGACATTTTTGTTTCCTAGGTGAAATAACCAACACAAACAATATAATATGTTCCTCAATGTGTTTATTGAGTAGTCGAGGACAGTTTGCATCAACTCATCCTTATAGTTGTCACACATAACAAAAAAGGACAGATCGCAGCATATTTACTCACAACTAATTAGGTTTTTTTCTCTTACTTTTGTTGGTAACAAGTTTATCTGACATCCCCAACATATTTTTAATACTTGCATTGCTCCTGCATTACTTTAGCCTTGTTTTTTAGTTCTCGTTACAGTTTGTTGACACTTAGTGTTAGTTATTTGTAAATCTGCATGTCATATACCATTTAGTTTGGCACCTTCTTTTATATGTTATGTGCATCGACACTCTTGGATTATCTGGAGGCAAAGTAAGGCCTGATCTTCATGCTAATAGCCTTGAGCGAGTACCAGCTGCCCTTCCAGTTCATCCACACCACACCATCATCTGTGCCATGCTTGGCCATCTGTCGTGTGTAGGCTCCTCCAATGTAGTACCGCCCATTGGGATTGGCTGAGTGGCAGCGATTGTACCACCAGCCACCTCCATCCTCCTTGGAGCACTGTTTGGTGGGATTACCAGGGGTCCTGATTGGTACGGACAAGAAGAGTAAAGTTAAAATGTGAAATTTCTGAAAAATTCTAAATCTGAGTTATTACCATTTACATTTATTACATAACATTACATTTAGATGCTGGTAGATGTATTAACTACTGCCACATTTAGTTTAAAGAGGGGTGTTAAAGCCAAAGTCAAAATCCTTTTGAACATATTTAACAGACTGAGTAAACTTGTGGGTCATCCAAAATGCTAAGATGGGCTTGATTTCTTTACATTTTAGTAACATGATAATTAGCTGTTACAGCTAGTATTCTAGTATTTATATTTTAAGTAATAATTTATTATTTACTTTTTTTAGGATACCTACCAGTTGTCGTTGTCTCTGTCGTAGGTACTGAACATCATGCCATTGTGAATGGTCATAGTACGGTTTTCACCAAAGAGCTCAAGAGATCCTTCCAGGAAACAGTTGCCAGCATTACCAGAATAACCACCAACAGCAAGCACGTAGTTGGATGTCTCTGATTGGACAGTGAACTGGTTGTACTGGGCATGGACCTGATTAAAAGCAGAAACCAGTTTTAATTTAATTCCTAACTGACATAGTCATTAGAAAGAGTAGGTGAAAACACTGTAATATTGCATTCATGTCTTCCTGATAATTAACTATTAGACCCTAACCATTAATGCAAATTACAATTTCCTAAATTCAAAAAAACTTTTTTTGAAATTGCTTCTTTTTTTTTAGATCAACTATTCAAAACTGTACACAATTTCCTTTATTATCAAATAAACAAATTTCTACATTTAAAATTCACAGGAGTCTACAATTATCAAGCTTAAACTTTTTCACTAGTCCTATGATAATTTCTTGGACCTGCCAATCCCTTTAAAAACTCACCTTGGCTCCTGTCCAGTCCTCCATCTCGATGAGAACCTCAGTTGGGCCCATCTTAGTCAGCTGACTGATACGGTCATTACCCAGCCAGTATTCACCTGTAGGCATGTAAGAAGGTATATTACAGTAGCTGACCAGAAATAAGTGTAACCATTAAGAAAGGGTTACAGTACATTTTTGTCTTGTGTTTTAACTCTCTTACCAGGAGTCGCACAGTGACCCTTGCCAGAATCAAAGGCAATATTTCCAAATCCACGGCGATATTCGTCCCAGCGTCGACCAAAGTCAACACTGCCGTCAAGCCTATTCTGGATAAGAAGCCATCCTGGGAACAAATTTAAAAAGGAAATGTAAAAAAGACAAACCTTAACTGAAAACCATTAAATCACAGTAATGATCAAAGAAAAGTCTCACCTCCATTCTGGGAGGCCTGATCACAGAAAACCTTGTATGGAGGGTAAAAGGCATCAGGCTGGATCATATACATCTGGGAATCTACTCCTCCCCGACGGAAGATGTCCTCACACTCTTTACCTAAAACAAACAAAAGAAAAAGCTTTAACATCTGTGGAGCTTCTAAGTCATTCAGGTCATGATAGTCTTAAGTGTTTGAGTTCACAGCAAGTAGCCTCTCTCTAGCTTTTTTTGTCATTTCTTACCAGAAACTACTGGTATGGGACATTTAGTCTTGCATGGCGTCTTGCACTCATCCCTCTGGGCCTGGATGGCCTTCTCCAGCTTCTGTATCTTCAGCTTGATCTTGTCCAGGACCCCCTGAAGTCATGACATGTTATAAATTAGAACAAGGCTGATTGTACTGTTTTTGTTCTCATTTTCTATCATATAAATTCTACATGGTTCCTAAACTTGAAAGACACACTGTATCATTATAATCATACTATTATATGTATACTACTATGTCACTTTGTATTTACCTGCAATAATCTGATATTGGAAGGGAACACAGTATCCACTATCTCTTTGATGTAGGTGTGCTGCTCCTCCACTCGGTCGGTGTACTGACTAACTACCCTACTGTTGTCTAAGAGCACAAGAAAACAGAAAAAACATGTTCAGCATTTCACATTTTCAGATATTATTTTAAGGCAGGCGTTTTTAATGAAACAACTATTATAAACCAATAGTGTTTAATGGTTACCATATAAACTTTTTTGCTTGCTTTCTAAAAATTTTGTATTTAATTAGATGTGATTCACTGTATTTCATTGTATTTGTTTTATTTGTTAACTTGTAACACTCACAGAATTACTGGCAATTAGTTATAATTGATATATTGTAATGTCAGTACAAATAAATTTAATCAGGCCATAGTTATAAATAATCTTTGGGTTGTTTTTTTTTTTTTTTACATTTTCAGTGTTATATTGCAAATTTCTTTCGCACCGTTGGATAGTCTTTGCCTCTCCCTCAGCGAGTTGGAAATGCCATTGACGTAGTTGAAGACAGTGTTGGAGGACTGGGACAAATCATTCACCTGAGGCTTGAGTTCGTCAATGCTCTGTGTAAAACAGTTGCAAAAAATAAAACAAATACAGGAGGTTGAACTTAGTCTTTTCACAAAGTAATGATTTCCCATAGTTGGTTTAAACTCATATCCAAACCAAACCTATGGTTTGGATATGATTCTGCTAATCATAGCAGCAAACATTTTTGCTAATGTTTGCTTGGAAAGATCTCAAAGATGACGACTACCGCCCTTTAAATGATTGCACAAGTTTGATTTACCCTCTTGACATTTCTCTCTTGCTTCAGCAACGTGGTCTTTAGATCGCAGCCAGTGGGACACAAAACACCCTGATGGACAAAAGCAAAACAAGTTAAGCTAACTTATCTTGTGTCACTAAAATACATGTTCTTTGACTTTGTTCTAATTTTCTGACTTCAAAGTAGCTTATTAATGTAACTTAAAGGCAATAAAAAACTACAGTTAACATCAGCAATTAAAGGTTTCCCAAGAACACCCCAGTCACAGACCAATTGATTTTGATGGAAACTGCTTGTTTTCAGCTAGGTGAACCTGGTCACAAATAGGCATATGGTGCTTTCTTTCTGCGGTTATCCCATAGCTTGCATGGAAGCAAACATTGATCAACTAATTGTGGCAGACTTTGCATTTTATTTGTACATTCATAATAAACTGAACACTAAAATTTGCACTTTTTACTTTTCATTTTACTTTTCATTGTAGTAACTAGTTGGACCAAATAGTTGCATATCCTCACTATCTGCACATCCTCTACAGAGAAAATATCAAAGTACAGTATGACAGTAAAATAATAAGGGCACCTTAATGTCTATATAGTTGTGCAATATACTGGGATATTCATATTAGAGCTATTTGTATCCATTAAACCTATTTTGTTACATTTTATAACTACGCAATATATTGTGTTAATCAATTGTGTTTAGTTAGGAACTTTTCTTGCTGTACTGGAGCAACTGTGACCACATAATTTCCTCTTGGAAAGTATTCTGGTCCTGACATCACCTAAGACCACTGGCCTGTATTTAATTGTATGTGTGTTACTATTATCTTTTTTTTTTTTTTTTTTTTATACCATCTCCTCTGAAGCATGTGTACATCCTCCTGCCTCGGGCTGCTCAACTTTCTCCTTCATCTGTCGGCCACCAACTGGAGCAGGAGTGGGGCGCCCACGATACCTTAATGAAAAAAATAATTTAAAAAACACACACAAATATACCGGCGATTATTTGTTATTTGTATCCCCTACAGTGGCACCGCAGACCACATCATGCCACTTTGCTGTATTTCACAAAATTTTATTATTAACGAAATTTTATTGCCAATTTTATACTATAAGATTTAATTTCATTTCATCTATATCATAAGGATGGCTGCGTTAGATTTTGTTTCTTTTCACTGTTTTTATTTCATTTATTTAAAAAAAAAAAGCCTTACCTGCTACCACTGCTGACAGGAGGAGGGGCATATCTATTTCCAGTGAAGGTCTCCCTGCCCTTTTGTAGTGGGCGGTGACCACGAGCATCTACAGCTGTTCCATTTGATTCCGGTGTTGCCTGTGGAAGATTTTAAGAAACTGCTGTGAGTAACAAATTTCCTCTCATTTCATAAATGTTGTTTTAAAGACATATTTCAAATTAAATCATGGCAGATAAAACTATGCTGGACAACCAAAATATTATATAAATATAAATAAATATATATAAGATAAATATATCTTAGCATTAACAACACAATTTTGATTAGAGATTTTACGCATACTGGTGGATTAATCATACGATAAACATAAAAATTCTGATTCTGGTAATTACCAGTACTACTACTCTTAATTTAGGGCAGAACTGGCATAAAACCTCAAAACATTCGGTGGTGGTCAGACAAATTTGGTAAGAACTGTATTTAAAAAGTAAAACTTGAAATTATTTCAAAAACATGTTTCAATTTCTCCCAAACAAATTTAGCTCCTAACGTAGATCTTATTTTTTTTTAAATTATGTGTAATCTATGTTTTAGCACCATTTGTCCATTGAGAATTAGAATTGAGAAGTTCTCATATGTGCAAATCAAATAAAAGATAAACCCAATCAAAATAGATACATGAATAAAAATAAAACAAAACAAGCAATGCATTTTTTTTCAAGTCTAGCATTTCTCAGTAAAAATAGACCCAATCTGTGAAGAAATGTATTTCATAAAATAACATAACAGATAGACAGGTAGATATTTTGATAATAACACAGCTGAAATTTTAAACATAGTTCTTTACACAGTGTACACTCTTTTAAAAACTAACTGATACACTATGAAAGTAAGTTTAATATATTTTATTGACTATGTCCTTTCATCAAAGGAATTAATCAAAAAAATGTGTGATATAAAAACGTTTCCGCTTTAGACACATACTCACCAAGTCATCATCCTCTTCGTTATCAAACTCAAGGTCCTGTGCCCAGGCGACATACACACACAGATAAACCAACAGCAGTATCTTCATGGTGTACTTTATGAAGTTAGTCTTGTCACACACTGTCCAAACTGCCTTTTCTCTCCCAGACATTTGATTTTACCACATATTTATCCTCCATCTCTGCACATGCGTAGGCGTCCTCCCCCACTTGTATTGATCTGTTCCGTAACTGTTGGAACAGTTTACCCAATCTTAGTCACTGCCACACTAGGTAAGTCTGGGGAATGTCAATGAACAAAAGGGCAAAGGGGCCGAAAGGCAGAATGCCACAAAATGTGGTAACTTGTGTTTTTAAAAAGCTGTTTCTATCTAGTGAAACTTTTTCAGAACAATGTTATGATAGCAGCAAAAGCATCATTGCTTTAAAATAACATTTGAAATTCTTAGTTTCAGGAGTGGCAGATTGGTTAGAAACGTAGTGGCCTTAACTGTCCTTTAATATCAAAAACATAATATTAAAGAGGAGAAATTATATAACGTATTCTTTGAAGTGTGAAGAGTGTTTAGTGTTGGGAACTGTCTCCAGCGCTCCTTGATTCCTGTTTACTTTTGTGTTTTTCATTAGGAAAATGCAGAAAATGTACAGTGAGAACAGTTTTACGGTTTTCCCGAAGAACCTGCAGTGAGTCATGCATTGATTGGAGGTTAGGATGTTGAAACAACTGATATTTGTTTAAATCCAAAAGGGTACATTGTACAATGTTATGAAATCACTAAAATCAACACAGAGTCATGCGTGCACAAATGTGTGCTGCTCGACAAAGTATAATGTATTAAAAACCTTTGTTCTTTAACCTAGTTTTTAGTAGTAGTTACTTTGTACTAAAGTGTGGCAGTCCCCACCCACTGCAACTCTCTCCCATATAAGAGTCACAATACCTTTCTTGGAAGACTCACTGGACTCGTTCAAGAAACTTCTCAAAACTCACCTCTTCATCAAAACAAAACTTAACCTCGAGCCTTTTTAACTACTAGATACTCTTGTGCAAAGAATCCTTGGGTTTCTTGAAAGGTGCTATAGAAATCTAAGTTATTTTAAAGTTATTATTATTTTAAACAGGTGGTTTTATAGTAGCTGCTGGGTGAGACTGATCAGCATCCCCACACAGTAGGCTTGGGAATTAATAGATATCTCCATGATGTTAGTGTGTTAACTGAATGGTTTGTGTCTTAACCAAGTAAACAAATATGGTAACATATCACTGTATGAAAAGATTTTATCTGACACAATATAGGTGTAATCAGTGTATGTATGATGTAGGAATGTCAATCAAATAGTGTCCTCACAGTGCAGATTTTCTGATCAATGTATGTCCCTAAAATGTAGGTTTTCAAAGACATTAGGTTTAGTTGGACCCGATTTCTATTGTGTGACAATAAACACAATTCATTTGTGTTGCTTTGTTTTTATTGTGTTTTTTATACTTAGAGTAATTGAAACATGCTTGATTATACAAAAATAGATTATTAGAAGAATTTGATCCAAGTTCACATGCACAAATGATTTGGATTTATATCTAGAACTGAACCAAATTCAGTAAACAACTGGTTGAACAAGAAAAACTACCCCTAAAGATGTTTTTTAATACCTATTGATTACATTTAAAAACATAAAACAAAACAAAAAAGAGTAAGAAACAAATTTTGTGGGGCTGTCATGTGTAGTGCGTATAGTCAAGACTCTTGGTTTTTTCATCATCTGGTCTGAGTTCAGATCCTTTTCGAACAAACAAATGGGAAGGCGTCATTGCAGGTTGCAGTGCACCACTTCAGATTATCTGCAAAAACAAGAAAAACACATGTGAATTTAAGAATTTCAAACTGGAATTATAAATTGTGTGTTTTAGCTGATCTTACTATCGGTCAGGGTCATTTTGTAGATTCTTTGTGACTAAATATGTGGCTGCTCTTATGTCAATACATTGGCAAAGGGGAATCTGACAGAGCCATTTTCTAAATGTTTCTAAAAACTTTGCTTTGGATGAGGTGTGGGGAAAACATGACGGTCTTAAGAGCATGCTTAAGATTCTAGCTCACTGTCAGGCACCTAGCAAACATTAGTAATCAGCTAATGCAGAGTATTTTTCAACCTTAGACCTACTCAAAGGATGTGAATGGCTTTGATTGTCCTTTAGGATATTAAAGTACAGAAAGTGTGTAAATAAAATATATTAATGGTAAAGCCAATCCATATATTGTCCTTGCTGTGTATATGTTCTAAGTGATCAGTGTATTTGAGATGTAGATATGTTTACTGACCAGATGTGCTAACTTGTGTCACTATAATACAGATGTGCTTTTTGACTAGTCTACTTATAATATATGTGTGCTAACTGTCCCAGCAATGCATGTGTACTTACTGGCTAGTTTTCCCCCAATATAGGAGTACTAAATGAACACCTTTATCTAGTTACACTCTTTTGTAAACTGTAGTTTGTAAAGTAATGTAAAACCCACCTTGACATTTTTATCTCCACTTAGAACATAAGTAAGAATAACAGCAGGCTAACTTTATCTGTACTCATATTAGTTTGTTGGTATGTGTACATGTCTGTGTATTTATGTGTGTTTATAGCATTACAATGGCAATTTATCTTCATGCAGATGCTAGCTGTCTTCTTGGTGTTGTCATGGTCATCATCATCGTCATCTTCACTGTCCTGCTCACTGGTATCATCATGGCTGTCCTTCTTACTGGATTTGCCATGGCTGTCTTCCTCACTTGTATCATCATGACTGTCCTTCTTGCTGGATTTGCCATGGCTGTCTTCCTCACTTGTATCGTCATGACTGTCCTTCTTGCTGGATTTGCCATGGCTGTCTTCTCACTTGTATCTCATGACTGTCCTTCTTGCTGGATTTGCCATGGCTGTCTTTTCACTTGTATCGTCATGACTGTCCTTCTTACTGGATTTGCCATGGCTGTCTTGTTCACTTGTATCATCATGGCTGTCTTCCTCACTTGTATCGTCATGACTGTCCTTCTTGCTGGATTTGCCATGGCTGTCTTGTTCACTTGTATCATCATGGCTGTCTTCCTCACTTGTATTGTCATGACTGTCCTTCTTACTGCATTTGCCGTGGCTGTGCTTCTTATTGGATTTACCATGGCTGTCTTGTTCACTTGTATTGTCATGGCTGTCTTCCTCACTTGTATCATCATGGCTGCGCTTCTTCCTGGATTTCCATGGCTGTCTTGTTCACTTGTGTTGTCATGGCTGTCTTCCTCACTTGTATCATCATGGCTGCTTTCTTCTGGATTTGCCATGGCTGTCTTGTTCACTTGTATTGTCATGGCTGTCTTCCTCACTTGTATCATCATGGCTTTCTTGCTGGATTTGCCATGGCTGTCTTCCTCACTTGTATCATCATGGCTGTCTTTCTTACTGGATTTGCCATGGCTGTCTTTTTCATTTGTGTTGTCATGGCTGTCTTCTTCACTCGTATCATCATGATCGTCATCATCGCACCAGTCTTCATAGTAAAACTTGGAGCCATCAATCCACATCCAAAAACCAGGCTATGGACAGACACAAACATACATAAATACATATAGTGAACTTGCATAGTTATATCTTAGGTGGGATTTTGGTAGTGTTTAAGTTTGCAACTATTTAATTTCCACTGAAGCTGTCAGATTTCAATCCTGACTAAGTGTACAGGCATGGATTATAACACTGATTTAAAAAATATATATATATCCATACATGGACGGCGCTAGTGGCACCAGCCCAGGTTTCTGGGAAGTTGTCGGTGTCCCCTCTGGTCAAAGACTGGACAAAGTGGTTTTCCTCATAATTGTGAATGGATGCCAGGTTGCCGCCATCGAACTGACAAAAAATCTGGTGGGAGCCATTTTGTATTCATTACAATACATATGAACAACTGAATGAATAGTATGTTGTATTCATCATCTCTATGATAGCTCACCTGAGCTTCAGTCCATGTCTTTGGGGTGCTGATATAGTTGAAACACCGGTCACCGAATCGAGACCAGCCATCTGGGCAGTCTGAGTCCCCTATCACTTAAAAAACAAACAATTAAAAAAAACAAAAAAAACAAAGTCCAAATCAACAAAATTAAAAAAAGCACAGTTATACTTATGTTTTAACATTTTGTGTGCTAGATCTGTTCATTATATTGCACATGTTTTTACTTGTCTTGTACAGGTTTCTCCTTTTGAATGACTTAGTGTAATGTGGGTACACATTGCTAAAGCCACTCACTGCAGTTAACAGGTGGGGTATCAGGTGGTGTTGTTGTATTCGGTATCTTCTTTCCAGTCATGATGTCAACGCACCAACAGTACCCGGTAGACCCGGAGCACTGCCTTGGAAGGAAGTTTCCATTGTCATCACACTTAGGGCAGAATGATCCAATGAGGTTTGAGCAATTCATTCTTTCATGGTAACAATGGCCTTTATCCCAGGACATGGTGGGGTTGATCGGAATGGCTTGACTTATCGCCAGGACAGTGCACAGTGTAAGTGACACAGCAAGCATCTTCATGGTGATCGTGAAGATGATGATGGAGGAAGTTGACCTTCAGACAACACATCAAAATGTTAAAGTCTTGAGGGGGATTTTGTTTTAACCATGTGCTGAATATTGGAATATGCTGAATTTTAAGTGAAGCCTATTTTTACTTTTTTTTTTTCTATTAAGAGATTTTACTTTGAAAGTTTCCAGGCTTACAAAAATTCTCTAAAAAAGAACAGATGTTAACCAAACCCTAACTCTAGCACTATATCACCAAGCTTCCTGTTGTGTTTGGGTCAAATCCGACTGATTTACAAATTAAAAATATTAATAAATAAATAAATATTGTGTTTTACCCTACGATGTTTTAGGCCCTACGATTTCCTAAACACGACACACACTTGAACATATAAAAGTGATGAGCCCCTTTTTCGTTGAATTTTGAGTGTTTTAATGAACTTTGTTCTGTGGTGTTCCCACTCAAAATTAACCGCGATAGGAAATGAATGGCAGATTGTTACATGGAGAAACCTTTGGAATGCAAGCATGCTGATCCACACAGGTATGCACACAGGTGTACACACGGGTATTCACAGACGCGGACTACAGCTTTCTTGGCTGCTGCCTCAAAGCACATTGTGCGCTGTCTTGCGTGCTGCACAATATCGTTTATTATTTAGTATCTACTGATATCTACTGCTAGCTAGTTTATTGTGATGGTGCTGTTTTTTTTATTATGTTGCTCTTTGTTGTTTGCTTTCTCTTATGTTTTTTTTCTACATACAGGTGACCCAGGAGTTTTTTTTGTTTGTTTTTTTCCTTTCTTCCCCCCCTTCTCACAGTCTCTTCTCCCCTTTGGTTTTCTTTCTCTCCCTCTCTTTCTTTCATTCTTTCTCCCTGTCCTATCCCCCAGTCATGTCTGTCCCGTTTGTAGCAACTGAAAATAAAATAAATTCATAATTATAATAAAGGTCAATCAAATGGACCAATATGGCAAGGCCATGATGATCCACTTGGTAAAATAAATCCGCTTGGCATCTTTCTTGGCCTTAAGACAACAATTCTGATGGCTAAAGATCCAAACGGGACACACACAAAAAAAGGAAATGAATGGGAATCCCCCCCCCAAATTGAAAGACCCGCTTTTACAACCTACTGAACAACCCACTGAATGGCCCACTGAACAGCACATTGACCCACCCACTGAACTGAATTTGGTGGTGAAAAATGTTTCTTATGTTATTTTCACAGCTGTTAAAACTGACTGGTTGTGTGCACCCCCACCCCCCTTACTGTAGTAAGTGACTAGAGGGCTAAGCATGATCTCGAAAAACATAAAATAGGCAAAACACAAACACAATTTGTTTTGCATGAATTCTATTGTTTATTTTATTCAAAATTGTATAACAGTTTCTAGTCTTACTGTTGTCAAAAAATGATATTCAGATAGTAATCAATACTAAAATTAATATCATGTAAAATACTGCAACAATATCAAAAATGCCATCTTGGTTTCCTTCTTTAGCTGACACAGAATTTCACACAGCACGGCTTTAAGAGGAATTTCAGTGGTGAAAGTTCCTGTTTCACAGACGCTAATATATTTTAATTATTAATGTTTACCCGATGAGTGCAAAAACTAACATTAGGCATTTAACTATTAGCAAATAGTCAAATGGACTGTGGATAGATAAAAGATAAATAATTATTGACAGCTTAACGGTTCAAGGATGGAATACTGAGCTGTGACAGAGAGACCTGGAGAACTGGGCGGGTTTGGCTGCATGGAGCAACAGGGAAACCGGAGCTGAAGTGAGCAGAGTCCAAAGTGTGGAGAACTAGTCAGAACAAATTAAGAGTAGAGCAGCTCAATCAGACAGGTTTCAGGACTGAAAAAGGAAAGCAGACTGAGACGGAGCAGTGTGAATGGTGGATGAGAGAGAGGTTGCATGCTGATTAGGGATGGGTATCGTTTAGGCTTTATCCGATACCAGTACCAAACCGGTACTTTTGAAACTGTGCCGGTGCTTAAACAGTGCTCGAACCGGTGCTTAAAGAATGGAGAACACAAAATTGGTCCAAAAACCTCTCATGTTCAGCTGTTTTTTTGTAAAAAGACAACAATGTTAGCCTTTTCTGCAGCTAGAGGGCATATATGGTATCACTCTTGGCTGGAAGCAGTGCTTAATCCATGGAAAAAACACAAACTTTGTCCAAAAACCTCTCACGTTTAGCTGTTTTCCACTTTTTCTTTGGTCATTTTAGACTTTTTGGCCAGGGTGAAGGGAGCATCTGCCATCAAACAAGACAGCTGCATGTAACTACGACTGTATTTGCTAGTTCACCTTAAATGCATTAATGTAATAACGTGGTTAGCCTACTCAGCGTAAATTACACACGAAGAACATTAAGCTACTCACGCAGAGAAGAACGGTTGCTGCTGCCATCATCATCATCATCCGTCATCATTTCTGCTACACTGGCAGGGCTAGGGGCCAGGACTCTCCTCTTTGGGTTCTTGGGGGATGTTGCTAACTCCGGGTCCGATAACAGGCACCACACCCGCAGTAGATGTGCTCGATGTGAGGTCTCGCAGCAAGCTATCAAATACGGTGCATTTCTCAGCTTTTAACAAAATGCTATACGTCGCCAGGTGTTTCATCAGATTCGAGGTGTTACCTCCTTTGCACAGTATCCCCTTAAACCATTTGTTTTGCTGCTGAGCTTGCATCTTTTGCTGTGAAGTACAGCCAGACTTTGACCGCTTTGCCTTGGGCGTTTTTAATCTGTAGCTCTGTTTTAAAAGAACGTGCGTACCTGGGCCCGCCTACTACGCTTGCAAAGGTAAAATGATTGGCTGGAATCCAAAGTGTATGACATCTCAGGGAAAAAAAAAAGCACCGAAATAAAGCACCGAAATGTGCGCTGCTTTTCGGTCTGGTTACTACCGTTTATGTCAGAACCAATACCGGTACCCATCCCTAATGCTGAAATATGTGATAAAATCTACTTTTACAATCATTTATTAAAAATCTGTTTCTTATTTTGTTTTTAGTCAGCTGTTATAAATGCATTTATATGTTTAATCTGTGTCAGAGTGAGCACACAGTTTTTTTTATATTCTTCTTCTTTTTAGAATAACTAATACCACGTTTTATCCAAAGTTCACTTGTAATTTTTCCATAATGTTTTTTTGTACAGTATTTCAAATATTTAGATGTAAATATAGTATCCTATATTCATTAATAGGTTCTAAAATATTTTTTAACTTGATCTATACTGGAATAATCTAAAAAATATGTAAAATGAATAGAACCTCTAAATTCCTCTTTGCCATGCAAAAGATGTATAAAGATGTATAAA